GAGCTGAGAAAGGCCAGAAGTATCTGTCATCCCCTGAATGCAGACTGGCCTCTGCTTCTTGGGTCTTTTAGGTCTCTAGGGCCAGGTCAGGGTGGGTCAGGCAGCCTGTAGACTAGAGGAGTCTCAGCACCCTCTAGCTGAGGGCAGGGGGAATGAAGAGAGAGAAAGCTGGGCAGGGGAGGGGAGCACTTGTCTGGGAAACAGGAAGGAGGGTGGGATGAGGGTGGGAGTCCCTTCCCAAATTCAACTCCTGCCTCACTGTGAGAGAAAACAAACAAAAAATCCTTACTTAACCCTCACATCTTTGGCCTTCTGGAGGGAGGAGGAAATGAAGTTAGGTCAAGGCCGAGCTGATGGCTTCCTCCAGCATTGCCTTGCTGTAATGTAAGTATGTGGCCCTGCTATGTGCTCAGTCCTGGGTCACGTTCTAGGAAGTAGGCATTCATTCATTGTTGCCCAATTTCAAGGCCTTATTGGGTGTTCAGTTTACAGACTTGAGCTTTAATGGGAAGCTACACTGAGTGCTTCAACCAGTACTGAGCCCCAGGATAGGTGTAGTGGAGGAAATGGTAGTAAGAGTGGAAGGTTGTCTGTCTCGCCTGGCACAGAGAAAGACCTTGGACCAGGTTGAGATTAGGGATTGAAGAGTTATTGAGAAATAAGGTCCTGAGAGATTGGGGACATACCCCTAGCCACACAGCAAAGATCTAGTTGGAGCTGGCCCTGTGATACCTGGGAGTTTGGGGGCTGCTTCTGGGGCAGGGAGGTTGCATGTATTGGGGACAAAAGGATGTTGGGTTCAGGAGCTCTACTTTGCTACCAATAGACAGGTATTTGGCCCTTTCTCCAGTTTGAAGCTTGGGCCATTGCATGGGACACCCTGAAGTGACAGCCAGCACTCTGTAGGGCAGAACTGGGTTCCTGAGTAACTGTCCAGCTGTCTGGTTACTTGCTAGTCCCTAGTAGCCTTAAAATAGCCTTTCTTTCCAAAACCAAGAAGGATCTGGGCTAGCACCTCTCTGTCCCCCTAATGGAAGTTTCCCCCGTTTGCCTGAGAACAACTGAAAGCCAAAGAAGCCCCAAAGGCCTTGTCCCAGCTTTTCAGTCCTTCCCATCCTGTGACTGTCCAGAGTCTTACCCCTGACTTGCTGACAGCACCCAAGGCAGAGGCTGGGTCATTTGTTTAGCCATGGAAGGAGGGCAAAGATACACATTGTTCACATCTTTCTGAGCTCCTGTGATTGTTGGGGAGGGGTGGATAGGGGGCTTTCCAGCTGTTTTCTTTCCATCCCTCCCTGGGGGCCTGACTGCCCTGGGAATAGAAGAAGGGAGGGGGGAGGTCCCCTTAACCCTTGAGCTGTTTTCCAAGAAGCTGAATTCCCTGGGGTCCTCTTGAAGGGCCATTCCTGGCTCCTCCAGGATTGACCTGAAGTGCCTCTCCTCCAAGTGCTTTTTTTTTTTTTTCCCCTAGTGAAATTGCTATTGCTTTAAAAACCAGGCCTTTGGGGTTTTACAGAGGTCCAGGGTGGGTGCATTTTCACAGATCTTAGGCACAAAGCTGCACCATACCCTGGGAGGAAGAGGCCACTCCTTATTCCTGCCTATTAGAGAAGTGATAGGAATATCCCATGCAGCCAGAAAGGGCAGAACCTCAATTTAAACCTGGACTGCTGTCTCTAGGAGACTGTGTGTCTTAGACCATAGTGAGGAATTGGCACAGGAGGAGACTGGAGGCAGGGCTACCCTAGGGGTTGCAAGGTGGCCTAGCACTTCTCTGTGAACATGGCTGCATCAGGGGAGGTCTGTTGCCCTCATTTCCTGCTTCTAATGAGGAAATGGTGTGGATAAGAGTCTAGCTTCAAGGACAGCTGCTGGCAGGTTCTCTGTTGTGAAAGATGGTTTGGCTTTTCCAACCTTCTTTGGGCCCCTGAAGTCACTTGCCTCCCTGTTCTGTATTCTCACGGAGGGTTACAGGCAGTTGCTCATTGACTGTCATGAGTTCTGGCACTGATGATGTGGGTCCTGCCCTGAGCAGTCTTTCCATCTCAAGGTAGGCATGGGCAGGTAACCAGCCCACTGTGGCAAGGCCAGAGGAAGTCCAGGGGAGTGATGCCCTCAGGGTAGAGGTTTGCTCTGAGAGTTGAGAAGGGAGATACTGAGAGTTGCTGTCCCTGACCACACCATGTCTGCTTAGAGGGTCCAGCCAAGGCCTATACTTGGGCTCCCCTTAGAGATGTCATTCATTCATTCAACAAATATGAACTGAAGTCAGCAGCTCCCTGTCAGGTGCTGTGCTGGGGGCTCAGGACAAAACCATAGTCACTGCCCTTTTAAGGTGGAGAAGATAGGTAACATATGATCCCAGAAGTGAAAAGGGTGGGCCTGGCAAAAGGAGGCGGGGACCAGGCAGTGGGGTAGGGGAAGACAGGGAGGGGCCCTGCATATACTGGGTCTGTGTTTTGTGAAGAGGGCCTCTAGGAGCTTCTAATGAGCCATTGGTTAAGAGTTTTAGCAGGGTATTTGGGGGGCGGGGTAGGGGAGGCTTGTGGATATTGGGCTGTCACTACTTTATGGCTATAGAAGCATGGTTGGAGCAGCCTCTTTGAGGAAGGAAGGAGGCCTGGCACCATTGCATTTGGCTGTTTGTCACATGTTCTGAGTTATAGCTTTGGGGGTGGCTGGAGTAGGTGGGTTGGGACAGACTGCTTTCCAGGGCCAGGCTCCTTGGAGGAAAGCTGTCTCCAGAGCAGCCCTGGCTAGAGATGAGTAGGGTATAGTTTGCCTCCTTGCAAGTTAGGCCTGGGAGTTAGCCTCCAAGGAAGGGGCTTGTTGCTGCTCTGACCTACCTTGCATTCCACAGGCCTGAACCTTGCTTGCCCTTCCCTGCATCTCTAGGCCTCCTACCAGGGGACTCCTGGGACTCCAACACACAGCTTGGACCTGGGTGGACTTGTCTGGCTTAGCCCCAGAGGGATCTCAAAAGTCATGCCCTCAATAGGCCCAGCCCCTGACGTGAGGCCACCCCATGGTTTTTCTTCATTCTCTGGATTACCCAAGGTCATTCATGGGTCACTTGTCTCTCAGCACTTCAGTGTGTTTCTCTGAGAAAATAAAGCCGTATACTTCTTTATGGAGTACAATTCTGATATCTCGCCTAACAAAGTCATCTGTTTTCTTAGTGTCTTCTACTATCTTATTCACTTACATTCTCCACTTAGCCCCCAAATGAGGGAGTTAAAAGCCCCCTCCCCCATGTCCTTTTCTTTTTGTAGCTGATTTAGTGAAAAAACCAGGTCAGTTGTCCTGTAGATTTTTCTGTCCCTTAAGTGTGAGTTAATCTAGAACAGGGGTTGGCAAAACATTTCTATGAAGGGCTAGATGGTGAATATTTTAGACTTTGCGGCCATATGGTCTCTGTCACAACTGCTTGAAGTAGTTTTGTTTTAGTGCGAAAGCTGCCACAAACAATATGTAAATGAATGAGAACAGTTACATTCCAGTAAAACTTTATTTACAAAAGACAGGTGGTGGCCCAAGAGAATGTAACTTGCCAATTCCCTATCTAGAACAATCTTTCTGTTTCTTTTTTCTTGCACCTTGAAAAAAACAGGTCAGTCATCCTGTGGAATACTCGGCCTTCTGGGTTTGTCTCATTGTCTGCTCAGGGCATCGTTTAATTTGTTCTGTCCTCTGGTTTTTAGTAATTGAGGAGTTGGGGCTAGAGGCCCTATCAGATCCAGGTTAAGCATCTTTGGCAGGGATCCCTTGTCAGTGGTGCTGTGACTTTTGGCTGCCTCACATCAGGAGGCATCAGTGTGTCAAGGCCATCTGTCCTGTGGTTAGTGAGGGGGACAGATCCATGTGTGGTCTTGTGATGCCACATCCCCCTATTGCAAACTTGTGTTAATCCCCATTAACATTGGATCTACATTGGTGGCACTTGGGCATCTGTGTGTATCTACTTCCACCCGCCTTTCCTTGGTGGTTCAGCATCTTCTCACTGTTGTTGCCTCTGGCATTTGTTTCTTTAGGCGCTGCAGAATTACTTGACATTTGGTTGTTCCTTTGTTATTTATTAGTAAGGAATCTGTAGTAAAAAGGAGCTTTCCATTAACCACCAGGGCAGTTTGCTTACAAGAAAGGCTGAGGGACAGGTAGAATTATTTCTCTTTAAGGGGCACGCTGCCATCAGTGGTGATACATGAGGGTTTGTGTTTGTTTTGCTTTCCTTGTTCTTCTTTTTTTGTAATCTCTGTGAATGCTCTGATTTTACGTATTCCATCTGTTTCCATCAGTTGTGCTTCTTATTCTTTTTGATGCTTAGATAGGACCAGCTCAGCCCATCAGAGGTATCCTTAGGACACCTCACACTTGCTTCTGCACTGAGACAGCCTTTGATGAGCTGAGCCAGTGCAGGGTCTGGATGGTGGGTTCAGATGGGGTAACATCCTCTCCATGGGCCTCTGTTCTGTATGTGGCTCTGACTGACCACTAGGGGGAAAGCTCTAAGGATAGAGTTATCTCTTGTGGTCCCCTATTCTTTCCTATCTCCAAGCATGCTGTTGACTGACCAGCACACAGCTGCACTGAGTTTGTGACCTGAATAATATGTATGACCCCCTGGGTCTACCTTCAGGGTCAGCAATGCCAGAACTGGCCCCTAAAAATTAATAAAGTTCCCTTTCTCTCCAGGCTGTTTCCTGCCAGTCTCAAGTGGGTTGGGCACTTGACCTATGTTGGCACTTTGGCACCAGAAACTTAGCATGTGCTGGCAGGGCCCTGGGTTCAGTAGGGGGTCAGGAAGGGGTGAGGGCTCTTGATGTCTGTGGTCAGTGGCTGAAGGGGTCAGGCAGACCCCTGTGCAAGGGGATGCAGGCCCCATTTGGGCTGCTGAAAGCAGCAGCAGTTTGAGTCTTTCCTAAGCAAAGCCCTCTGCTCTCTCCCAGTCATGGGCTCATGGATGATCCTGACCACTGCCCTCTCCATCCCCCATCCTTCAGGTTCCTGCTTGTGTCCCTGGAGCATGGGAGGCTGCTGAGCTGGAGCGGAGGTATACAGCAGGAGCTGTGTGTTTCACTCGGTGGCAGGGAGGGCGTCCATGGCTGCAGCCAATAAGGGTGAGTGTCCTCCTGGCCTATGGGTGTGCATGAGCTTTTAGATGGGCCCTGGGGTACGGGGCATTTTTGCTTGGGGGGCCTGCTTCAGCTGTGTGTGTGTGTTTGTATGCATGGTGTATGAATTCCAAACATGTGAGTTCTGTGTGCCTGGTCCTGCGGGTCACCCAAGCCCTAGCAGAGGCCCCTGCTAGTTCCTTGGTTTGCTGTTTTCTGGAGGTGTGTGCTCCTATGTCTTGTGTGAGATACCCTATTGTGCTGCTAGTGGTCCAGCAACATGCAGGGCTTGTGTAAGTACTGAAACTGGGGAGATGGGCAGGGCCACAGCAGGCCATTTGGATTTCACTGAATCCAGAGGGCTGTTGGAGAGTTTTAGGCAAGGGAGTTCTGGTAAAATCTTATAATCAGGTTAATGAAGTGCAACAAGGACTGTGGATGTACCAGGCTGGCCCCCAGGGCTTTTGCTGAATGTCAAAGAACCCAGGCCAAGGCCGGCCCAGGCCTTCCCATCAAAAGGACTCCAGATAGGTTTTTGGGGAGGCCTAGGGCTGAAGTGTCAGAGAGGACTGGATTCATGCTCTTGGGGTCCCTCAGCCTGAGTGACCATTCAGACTAGCCACTTGGCTCCCCACCACTCTTCTCCTCTCAATCCCCTGATCTTTCAGGCCTCAGAGAACCAGACCCAGCTCAGGGACAGCCAAGGGCCTTGATGGGGGCTAAGCAGAGAGGAAAGGGCATGGGGAGGACGAGGAGGCTCCCCAGCTTCTTTCTTCTTGAACCTGCCAGTGATCAGTGAGCATTAGTGACAGCTGCAGTCTCTCCTAAGTGGATGGAGTATGGTTTTTAACCCTCTTCATTTCTCCCACCTCCAAGAAGGGCACCTCCTTCTATCTCTGGCCCCCAGGTTGGCTGAGGTCATCACAGGGAGTAGACTGGGGCCTCATGTACTGACAGACCTGTGAGAGAAGATGCCAGGGTTGGGGAGCTTGGCACTGTGAAGGAGAGTATGGGGCCAGGTGTGCCGAGACCTGGGCCAAGCCCTACAATGCTGTGTCTTCCTGTCTCTGGTGCCAGCCTCCTCCCTTCCAAGTAAGGGGGAGTCATTTCAGCCAGTCCTGAGGGGTCCCATGACCATGTTGTGGGGATGACTTTTGTGGGACGACTGGGCAGGTAGGAGTGAGATAGATAACCTCAAGCTTCTTGATTACCAGTGGACTTAGTCCTGAAATTGGCCTGGCCAAGTGGGTGCTGGGTGATGTCAAGGGAAGTCCGGGGATGGGGAAGGAATAAGGGGAACATAGTTTTCTGGGGGTAGGAGAACGTAGCCACCCCTGGATTCTTCTCTCACTCTTCTTAGGCAATAAGCCCAGAGTCCGGAGTATCCGCTTTGCAGCAGGCCATGATGCCGAAGGCTCCCAGAGCCATGTCCACTTTGATGAGAAGCTACATGACTCAGTGGTCATGGTCACCCAGGAGGGTGACAGCAGCTTTCTGGTCAAGGTATGTTCATATTTCTCCCAGAATCAGCTTTACCTCCTCTCTGGCTCTACCTGGCTTTCTGGGACTGTCTTTCCTCTTTCCTCAGTGGCATTCACAGGCATGTCTTTGCCCCTCCTTGAGCCTTGGTTTCCCATCTATAAAATGGTGGTGGTGGTGGTGGTCAATGAGATGAATGTATCACCAGGTGAGTAGAGCTGGTGTCATTGGCCTTACCCAGCCAGTAGCAGTGGAAGGCTGGTGTCAAGGCAGCTGTAGTGCGACAAGCCTGGATTCAGGTCTAGGCCTGCCATTCTGGCTCTATGACCTGCCTAAGCAGGTCATCTTCATTTGTTTTCTCTCCAGTGGAGACAATTCACACCTTATAGAGTTGGTGAGAATGGAAGATGTAGGTATGTGATGCAGATATATGGTGATAACAAAGTGTGACTTTTTACCATGTTTTGGGCTCTTTGTAATGGTATTGATTACTCCATTTTTTTTTTCTTTTTACCCCTGGGGATGGCTCCTAGGGCTTTGTGCATGCTAAACATACACTCTATTACTGAACTACATATCCTGCTTCATCCCACATTTTCTACTTGGTAGAGTACCCCTTTCTCATGGCCATACCTCACACATGACTCCTCCAACTGCCAGGAGAAAAATAGGTCCCCTATTCACTTGGAAAGACAGGAGAGAGTCTCTTCAGGGGCCAGATTGAGGCCTTCAGGTTGGTCAATAAGCCCAGGATCCAGAGTTGAGTAGAAATGCCCTGTGGTGGGGGGCAGAGGTTTGGTTCCCTGGAGACTGCCCTGAAAAGGGGCTTGCTGCTCTTTTCAGAAGGGGCCCAGGTTTGTATCCATTTCTGTCTAACCCTAATGTCTTCCTTCTTTCTCCTACAGCTGACAGTTTTCCCCTGGGGAAAAAAAGGAACGAACTAAGCTTAAAAATCAAAAAACATCAACAACGATGAGAAAAAAAAAAAACCTAGTTAAAAAAACCCAGTTCCCTTCCCTCATTGCAAAATCCATTCACATCTATGAGAAAAATATAAGGGGCTAGGGATATAGCTCAGCAGAAGAGCACTTGTCTAGTGTGCATGAAACACTGAGTTCACTCCCCAGCACTGCAAAAAATAAAAAGAAATTTAAAAGTAGCCACAGTTATATTGTCCAGAAATAACCATGGTTAATATTTGGATATCTATCAGTCCAGGTTTCATTTTTTAAGCTTTGTTTTTTTTTTTAAAAACAAAAAACTGGCATCACAGTGGACAGGGTATATTATATTTGCTTGCTTTTCTTGTGAACTGGCTCCTGCCTGTATCAGGAAATAATCTTCCATGAGATTTTATACCTGCCTGGTGTTTCATCATGTGTATCATCACTGATTTTGCTGCTTCCCTGTGCCTAGGTGCTACAGTTGTTTCTTTTCCTGTTATAAATAGGGTATCAATGACTATTGTTTTGCCTATCTCTGAGCATTTCTCCTGGAAAATTCTGCAAGTGGTGCAGCTGGATCACAGAGTCACAGCAAGCAGGTACAGCCAGAAAGGCTTCTTGAGAAGTATGCCCACTACCAGCAGAGTGTGAGGGGATCACCTGGATTGAGCTTTATCATGTGGGTGATGTAAGGCTGGTCCCATTGAAAGGCTAAAAGCTCCACACAACCATTTCCAAACTGCCCTGTATAACTGTGACCAGGATTCTCTGCCCACATGAGCTGGGGGTACTGCATCCCTCCTGTGTTTACTGGACTGGCACTTCCATCGGCTACTGTGCCCAACTGCCACTCTGGCTTGTAATTCTTCACATCACCGAGTTTCCAAGGATGGCATCTGTCCCAAAGGGACAGTGTTGGTTGCCAAGCACTATGTATAAACAATGGATATTCAAGCAGGTGTGATGGCCCATACCTGTCATTCCATACAAGTAGGAGGCTGAGGCAGGAGGATTGCAAGTTGGAAGCCAGCCTCAGTACCTTATCAAGGTCCTAAGTAACTTGGTGAAACTCTGTCTCAAAATAAAAAATAAAAAGTGCCAGGAATGTATTTCAGTGGTAGAGCACCTCTGGGTTTAATTCTTGGTACTAAACAACAACAAATTCCATGGGCCATGAATAGGGGCCTCTGAGTGAGCAGGTAGGTGTATCTGATGCCAGCGAGACAGGCAGAAGTCAGGTCTGTGGGCCAGCTGTGGACTTACACAGCTGGTCTGGAGTTCATTTTGGGTTTTAATTGGTGCTGTGGATCAAATCCAAAGCCTCACACATGCTAGGCATGAACTAACACTGAACTATACCCCTACTCTGTGGTGTCTACTTACCTAATTTCATTCTATCCCTCATCCACACTGTTTTGTGTTACCTGGTGTCTCCTTATTAGGGATTGGAGGACCCTGGGCTACTGGTTCTGAATAGGTGCTGGTAGTAGTGGGGACAGGTGGATGGTCTGTGTTGTGGGACTTGGAGCCTCCATATGGCTCAAAGTAGAGGCTAGTGCCTTATGTGCCAATGCTCTTACGTGCAAGAGTGGCCAAGAGATCTAGGGAAGACTTTTCCCTGGTCACATAATATCATTTTCTGACTTCAATCTTCTTTATAAAATAGGCCACTAAGGAATGTGGGGTCCTTGACAGATGATGAGGATTGTGCTGGCCTTTAGGGGAAGGGATTCTGCCAGAGGGACTGAAGCCACTGGACTAGGGGTCTAGCTAAAGTGATGGAAGGAGTTAGGCTTCCAGAGAAGCAGGTGTTGTGGTCCACAAGGATCATAGGCAGCATGGCCTGGATGGACTCTTAGGGAATCAGTAACTGGAGGTGCCTGTCTTCTCACCCCTTTCTGCTGCAGGTTGGCTTCCTGAAGATCCTGCACAGGTATGAGATTACCTTCACTCTGCCCCCAGTGCGCAGGCTGAGCAAGGACATACGGGAGGCACCTGTTCCCAGCCTTCACCTCAAGCTCCTCAGCGTCATGCCCATCCCTGAAGGTGTGTCCCTTCCTGGGGTTCTGGAGGCCTGCCCTCCTCCAGTAGGTCCCAGATGTGAGTGAGAGTGAGAATATGGGGTACTTCAAGTCAGTGACACATACTTCTTAAGAGCTTGCAGTGATAACTTGGTAGTTTGCATGTCCCAAGCCTCCCTTCTTTGACTGAAGCCAATGAATTCACACTGCAGGCCTACATCTGCCCATTGCCTGATGGTTTCCTTAGTGGGGAAGTTATCAAGATGGGAACCACTGGCTTTGGGCCTCCAACCCTCCCTCCTGCCTGCCCTCGAGAAAAATATGCTGGAGACGCAGAACTTTGTGTGGCCAACTTCTAGCACCCACCAGCCCCAGGCTCTGGGTTTCACACTGCTTCTCCCAACCCTGCTGGCCTCAGGCCCTGCTCCACCCGCTACCTTCAGCTTGGAAGAGGCTAGGGTGTCAGTTTTTCCATGTACTGCCCATAGACCCCAGCTTCAGTGTCATGTCCCCCTTTCTCTACCTTTTCATGACCTTGTCCTCCAGTGGACTCCAAGCAACATGCCTTAGGCATTTGCCTTGCTCTTGCCACAGCCTGCTCACATTCCACCCTGCCTGCCTCCCTTGTTCTCCATCACCCCCTCACTGCCTGCCTTTGTGTTGAATACACAGGTCCTTCTTTTGGAAGCCTGAGTTTGAGTTTGCCTCACCTTGAGAGCCATGCTGGGGATGGCCTGCAGGCCAGAGGCACATTGAGCTCATTGAAGAAAGGGAAGCTTCCTAGGCCTCTAGGCACATCTTACCAATAGGGATGTGTGTCTGGGCTCTGAAGGGGCCATTCTTGCCCCATTCTCTGGGAGGCTTAGCATGTCATGTGATGGGTGATAGCCATATGTGTTGGGGACAGGATTGGGAAGCTGTGGGAGGTGTTGATGGCACACCTGTCCCCTGTCTCTGGGCAGGTTACAGCATCAAGTGCGAGTACTCGGCACACAAGGAGGGCGTCCTCAAAGAGGAGATGCTCCTAGCCTGCGAGGGTGGCACTGGTGCCTGTGTGCGGGTGACGGTACAGGCACGTGTCATGGGTGAGTGTGAGGCATAGATCTGGCTGGAAGGGAGCAGATGCAAGATTGGCCTCGGGGATCCTTATCCAATGGGGTCCCAACTTTTTAGCCCAGGTCCTCCCAGTGGCCCCCACTACCTGATCTCTAGGGCAGAGAGGACCCTTTGGGGTGGGGCCAGGGCACAGTGGACACACCAGCTTGCATGCCTGCTTTGCAGACCGACACCACGGCACACCCATGCTACTGGACGGTGTCAAGTGTGTGGGTGCAGAGCTGGAGTACGACTCTGAGCATAGTGACTGGCATGGCTTCGACTGAGGCCCGCACCCGGCCGACCTGTCTTGGGGCCCCTCAGCCTTAAACCCCACCTGGTCTCCCAACATGCTGCGTGATGATGTGGCTTCCTCACCCCATCCCCAGGTGGGCGAAGGGGTGGTGTTGGGGCCTCGCCCACACCTTTCACCTCTGCCTTCATTCTGCCACTACCCTGCCTCTCCTGTGTTCTATTCTCCCACTTCCTCCTCTCCGTGTGCCTCAGTCTCCTGCCAGAAGAAATGGGTTGAGCCCCCAAGGAGGCTATCTAAGGAGGGGAAGGGGAGATTCTGGGGTGGGTTCTACCCACTCTCCATCCCAAGCCATGTGGGCTCCAGTCAGGGTCTGGGAGAGGACTGAGTGGCTCTGTGACGCCAACACCCCATTACTGCTGCTGCTGCCTGGATGCCTCAGCCACCTCTCCCACCCCTGCCTCTTCCCCACTGCTACCCATGTGAGTAGGAGGGAGGCGCAGTTCCCAGCTCCTACCCCTCAGGTCTGAGTTACTTGGTTTTTAAATGACTGGTTGGGTTAGAACCCATAAGAAATAAAAACTTAAATGGATACATGGCCATGGGTTTTTTTGTTCTCTCTGGTCTCAAGATTGTCTAATACCTCACAGATGGGCCAGGCAAGGACTTGGGTAACTCATCCTTTCAGGAGGCAAGAACAGCCAGTGGTAATGTAGCACCTTGGCCTCAGAAGAGCTGTGCACAGGTGGTGGCATTTTAGGCCTGGGGCTAACTGGGGATGGGTATCTGCCCTGGCCAGGGAGAGGTCTTTAGGAGTGGGGAAGTATTTGGGATGTTTGACAGCAGCACCCCCTTATGGCCGGTTCCCTGCCTTGTGCACAGCTGAAAACTTTCTTCTTTCTCCATAACTCATGCTTTCTACAGTACTACCACTATTAGGGTCCCCACTTGTGTGGTACCAGCAGGCTGTGGCTTGCCCTTAAGCATAAATGCTTTATTGTCATCTTGGTGTAAGCTGCAGGGTGGGTGTTGCATGTCATGATTGAGAGAGATGCCTGACATTTCACATTTGGGGAAGCAGGCCTGTGGGTGCTCTGGGAATGTCCTAATGGCACATGGAGTCAGTGGCAGAGCTGGGACCATCCCTCAGTGCTCCCTCTGTCCTTACCCTCCCTCAACTGCCCATCCAATCAGGTGGTGGGGATGAAAGGGGTGGGTCATTCACAAGCTGTCTTTAGGCTCCAGAGCATGTCCTCTCCACACCCCCCAAAGCTGCCTTCACTATGATATGTGCCCTCCTCCCCACTAGTCAGCTACTGCCCTTTCTGTGAGTAAGAGTCATATTTAGGCGGTCAGCATATCCAGGAAGGTGTTACTAACACCTGTCTCTCCAATGTCCATTTGTCATTTTCCTGTGGTTTGGGGTTGCTCTGCCTGGCTCTCCCCTATGGCAGCAGCCCATCAATTAGTGAACTCTGGCCCTTCAGGCCCAGGCCCTGCACAACCTCCCTCCTGCAGTGGCACCTGGCAACCTATCTTGCTGCTGCTTCTCCCCCAACCCATGTTCAGGCCAGGGCTTAGTCTTTTGTTGCATTCTCTAAGGGATCACACACACCCTGCCAGTCTGGGCCCTCCCTCTTGCAAACCTTTCAGAAGTTCTTGGTTCTTGGCGGGGGCCCTTCAGCCTTCCAATCAGTGGACCAAAGCCCAATCACAAAGCGAGTCTCCATATGTCCCTCCCTCCCTCCAGACTTCACCTCTCGAGGATGGAGGGCAGGGAAGGGGCGCTGACATCGGAACTGGCCGGTTCCTCAGCTCCCACCCCGCTCTCCTGACCCAGGGATCGAAAGAGCGCGGGGCGAGTAGCCCTCAGTTGGAAAGAAAGTCGATGGCGGCGCGCACGGAACGATTGGTGCTGACGTCCACAGCAGTGACCTTAATCTCGGTGTCGCCAAACTGCATGGCAGCGCGGATCTCGCGGCGGCCTGGGGCTGCACCGGTGCTATCCCGGCCGCCGTCGGCCGGCTCGAGCTCGAGGCTGAGCGCGCCGCATTTGCGCACGCCGGGGTCTGTGATGAAGCGCGCGTCCTCGGCGGCGCAGCAGTACAGATTGATGAGCACGCGCCGTTGGCCAGGGCGCGCAGGACAATAACTACGCCGCACCTCCTCGCCTAGGGCCACCGACTGCTCTGCCGCAACGAAGCGCTCGAAGACATCGGTGCACCAGCGGCGACCGTCGCGCACTAGCAACTTGTCAGGAGGGTGGCGCCCATCCACAAAGCGATTGAGCACGCCCACACCGTAGGTGAGAGGCGAGCGGCGCACCCGCACCACGCCTGGGGCCTGGCCGAAGAGCACAGCGCCCTTGAGGATGGTGAGGCCCACATCGTGTGGGACCACAACGCGCAGGCCACGGGCGCCCAGCGCTGCCTGCACTGCATGCTGTAGCACCGCAGACTCGGCAAAGCCGCCCACCAGAAACAGCAGTTTCACACCCTGCACTTCTGGCCGCGCCAGCAACGCCTCTGTGGGGCAGAACCAAGATGATGGATGAGGAAGAGGAAAGGGAAGGGGAGAGAAAGAGCCACTGAGGTCACAACTTCGTGCCAACTTGGTGCTTCCCCTCCCCTCCCCACCTGTACACTTTAGGCAATTAAAAACTAGCCATTTGAACTACATCCTGATAAAAACACTAAGCACTTTCACTGAGAGCTCTTGGCAGTCCTCATGGGCTCTGCCTCCCCAACACTCTATCTTCACCCCCTTCTTTCCCACCACCCCGTGGAGGGCAAGGGACCAGGACCTGCATTTACAGTATCAAATACCTATACTATGCAAGACTGTGTACCCACCCTCTAGAAACTTCAGTTCATTTAATCCCTGTGATAGCATCTGGGGGAACTCAGTACTATCACCCCATTTTATAAATGGGGAAGCTGGGGCACCAGAGGTTCTTTAACCTGCTAGAGCTACACATCATCCCCCTAGTTCTTAATCACTGCCTCACTGCATGCTCCAGGTGTTTCAGATGATTCTGGGTCTCATCCCAGTGTATGGATGTGTGGTGGCTTCCAGGCACTGGTGAGGGAAATTATTCTCTAATGAGGGTGGAACAGAGACCAGGCACTCACCTATGTGCTGGATGATACCATTGACTGTGGGCTGAAAAAGCTCATTCATGGCCTCACAAGACATCCGGAGCATCCCCTGAGAGGACCACTTCACGAAGTTCACACTGTAAGCAGTAAAGAGGGGCACAGGCCCATGAGTCAGGGTCAGGCTGCTTGCCACAGTTTGGAATCTGTGGTCTTCACTCCCTACCCTTGCCGCCAGGGGGGATGTACCCGGCGCTGACTATGGGTCAAGGGTGAACCAGCTAGAAGTTGGCTTTTAATCCCCACCCCACTCTTCAGCCTTCTCCAATCCTAGGCAAGAGCATCCCCTTGCCTAGGTGCAGAGAAGCCAAGGAACGGTACATTCGTCGGCTGCGAGGTGGGAGGTGGGCGGGAGAAGATACACATCCGTCCCCGCCCGCCACCACCACCGCCCGCCCTTGATTCTCCCTCTCGCCCAGTTTGGGCTGCGGATTCCTGGGCTGCTCCACTGGGTTCTCACGCCCCTCGTCCCTCGCCCCTCGCCCCGTCGACATTTCCGTAATGCAACAGTCCACGCGGACAGCGATAGTCCTGTGGGGCCCACGACCGTCCCTTGAAGTGGCATTCCATTCCTCAACAGCAAATCCTGCCTGAGCCGGGGCCCTGGACCTACCTGCTTCTGCGCAGGGCCGTCTCCACGTTGTGGCCTCGCTGCTTGCGATAGAAGTCAATGAAGGAGAAGGGCAGTGAAATGTTGAGCGCCCCCGCACGGTGCGGACCCGCCGTGCGTTTGCGGGCCTCAAAGGCGATGGTGAGATCCACCCAGGCCGCTGGCCGTTGCCTTTTGAAGGTCGCAATGAAGTCCTCACCGAAGATGCGACAAAGCAGCTGCTCGAAGGCCAAGTCCACGCCCACAGCGCCATAGGGGCCACCTACAGTGAGCCAGAGAGTGGAAGGGGTGTCAGCGCCCACCTGGCCACCAAGTACTATTGGCGGGCTATAGGTCCTGCACTACATAGCAAGGGTGCTGCCTGGCTACCCACCAGATGCCTTGTAGAGCTCCTTGAGGGTGCCATGGGGCTGCTCCAGTTGGTGCACCGTCAGGTCCACAGTGCCTCCCCCGCAATCGGCCACCATATAGCGGTCTCCTGTGACAGTCAGCAAAGGCAAACACGCATGGCCTGCCTTGAACCCTCAGTCCTGCATCCCCTCCAGACTGTCCAGTCTCCAACCCTGCCCAAGGTCCCAAGCCTGCCACCCCAGGGTGTGGGGAGGGATGTGAGGAGCTTCAAGTACTTGAACCTCAGGTCACCAAATATGGGCACAGGGTATGGGAGAGAAATGGTTCCAGAAGTTCTGCAACTCCACTGACTCCTCCACACAGAACTCTGAAGAAGTGGGAGTTAGGGGCACAGCTGTGAGAGGGAAGGTGCTGGTGACTGAGGGGACTGCCAGGTTAGGTATGTCCTTCCTCCCATCAGTATATGGTTTCCTGAAAGATGTCCTTCCATCCCCCTCCATTGCACCTGCTTGCATTTCTGCCCACAGCTCTCCCACTCCTGACTCCACCAGAAATGTGCGGCTGTGGCGTGATCTTCGCAGTTGCTCACGGGCTAGGGGTTGTGGACAGCAGGAGAATGAGATCAGACTGTACTACCATGTTCACCCCCCAACACCCCTCCCCTCATCTTCCCAGCCAGGACCCTCCAGTGCTCCTGAAACTCCCACCCACCCCCAGTGGGAGAGTGCAATGCTGACCCCCCAAACCCAGGCACTGTATCCGAAACCGGGGAGGGGGTGTAATATCTGGACACAGGGCCTTTCTTTAACCCAGGAAGGGCCAGACCAGGCACAATCATACTTAGAAGAATTTGGAGGAGCTGGGGTGGGGGAATCTGGGGATATCCTAAGGGAGCTCAAAACTTGGGGCCTCTTCCTATTGTGAGAGATGACATTTGGGAAGATGATCAATGTTATCCATAGCTGTCCTTGGCCTCAGTGCCTGGTTCTGGCAGCAGAAGCTTGGGGCGTGGGCAGTGGCTGTTTAAGGGAAAGCTCCTGAAGACAAGAGTGGGGGCAGACTTTGTTTTTGGCAGTGCCCACCTGAGCAGCTTGCCCCAGGGCAGGCTGTGCCTCCTCCAACCTCAGTCTCAGGCCTGAATGAGTCCTGCCCTCTTCAGACTATGTGCCCCTAGGCAAGGTGAAATCTCAATTCCCCCCACCTCCCAGACTAGGGGCCCCAAGAGCAGGGCTGCACTTCTCTCCATCAATTGAACTTCACCAGGGATGTTCCTGCTACCTCAAGATTAGTGCTCCTTCTGCTTCATCTTGAACATTCTGAGCCTGTGGCCTCAGTGACCTCAACACTCCGAGGGCAACTGCATCTTACCAGTCTTGGGCAAGGTCCCTGAGGCAGCTCACCATGACGGAAGCTGGAGTCAATGGAGCGGCGCTCACCCAAGCGCCCACCCCCCGGAGTCCGGCCACTAAGGTCCATGAGCTGGTGCAGGCGCAGCTTTCGGCAGTAGACAGAGGCAGCCTCAGGCTCCAGGGCAATGAGCAGTTGCTCTGCATCCTCTCGAGATACCAGGCCAGCCTGGGTGGAAAGTGGGCAGGACCAGACAGTGCTATGGGCTGTCATATCTAGGATGACACCAGGGGGCTCCCACCTCCTCCCTGGTCACATCCCACCCATGCTAGGCCTCTCAGGCCCCTTCATGCTACATAAATGTGGAGCTCATGGCCACTTTATGACCAGGCCGGAGGCCATGGCCACGGCCAAAGGGACACAGGGGTGGCCCAGCAGGAAGAAGACAGAACTGTAGCAAGGTTCCCCTTCGCAGCTGTAGCTGACCAGCTGAGCACTGGCTGAGGTGTTGGCAGAGACTATCTAGTACAGTATTTGGAGTGTGGTGGAGCAGAGGAAGTGGTAGGGGCTCCCTTGGGCTCACCGGGCTGGTGTCAGACACTTGGCCACAGGCTGCCCCACTCCTAGGAGAACTTTGTTCCCAGAGAATCTGATATAGCAGGAAGGAAACAGTGAAATTCCAGGCACCAAGACAGGCCAGTGTGGGGGGGAGAAAAACACTTGAAATCTGTTATTTCCTGCATTAGGACAGGAGATTCCTTTGGGAAATACTGGGTTTTGTAGGGGCTTTGGGGCTCCCCAGAATTCTGATCAGAAGGGGGAGGAGGACACAGGTGGGAATGGAGATTTCCTGCCCAGAGCCAGCCCTTCCTGAGCTGGCAGCAGGGAACAGTATGGGAGGAAGCAGGGTGATTAAATGGGCAGGGAGACACTAAGGTGGGGAGTATTCTTTTAGGAAACAGCTTTGCTTCTGTCCTGATCCCTGTGGGGAGATGCCCACTTGTTCAGGGTTGACTTCCAGTGAGAAGCATAGATAGCTATAAACCTGGCCCTGGGTCATGCCTGGCCCACAGGTATGGAGGTATTGGGGGCACTGATATCCCAGGGAGCCGATAGGTAAGATCCCTTTTGGGTGTCCTAGGGTCTGTCCCCCAAGACCCCAGGGGCAAGGCCAAGCAATGAGTTTTGCTTTGTGAGGTTGGGGGTACCCTCTGTGTCCCCCCTGGAGAGAGTAGAGCCTCTGCACCCTCTTCTTTCTCCAGGCCTTTGGACATCTCTGTGTATGAAGACTGGCACACATTGGGCAGAATCTCCTCCCTTCCTAGTTTCATAGTCCTTTCTCCTCTGCTCAAGAACCTACAGTGGCTGGGGCAGAGGCAGGGGTATTCCTGAAAGTACTGATGCCAGCTGAAGTGGATGTCGGTGGTTCCCTGTCTGCTGCTGTGTCTGCTGCTGTTGGCCCACAACTGCTACTTCTATGGACAGCTGTCCTCAACTGAATGGGAACAGCCTCCCTTGGACAGGAGTCCCTCCCATTTTCCCAGCAACATGTCACTGACGGACATGGACCCTTTCCTCACGGTAGCCAACTCAGGGCTATAATTCTCCCTCTGGAGCTCCCTGGGAGACCAAGCTGAGGCGGAGCTCCTGCAAGATCATATCCCTGTTCAGCTCTCTCCTGTCCTGCTTCCTCCCTTCCCTTTCTCCTGAGAGCCTGTTTTCAGTAGACAACCACATGAGACTCCCCATTTTGGGCTCTGCTTCTAGGAAACATGACTTAAGATGCTGTCTGGTGCTCACTTTGGCAGCACATATACTAAAATTGGACTGATACAGAGAAGATTAGCATGGACCCTGCGCAACAGTGACATGCAAATTTGTGAAGCATTACATATTAAAAAAAAAAAAAGATGTTGTCTATACTGGCCTGAGCTGTGCTTCTTGTCATTCTACTTCCTGTTTCCTCAGGCCCTTCCTTTCCTGGTGGCAATGGCCCTCCAAAATTCCCATTAGGGGAAGGTTGAGGTCTTTGAACAGTAGTAACTCTGTGATCTCAGGGTGGTGAGGAGATGAGGATATGGGGCCAACCCCCAGGCCTTCCCAAGCATCGTTCTCTGTTCTGCCTGCATTCCTCACCAGGTAGGCAGCCTCCCGCATGAACTGCTTGGCCGGCTGTTTCCAGATGGCAGGCACCGTCAACACCCAGCGCACAGTGTCCCTCTCTGGCAGAGACGGGCACTGCTCCCTCAGCTCCTGGAGGAATAGAGAGTGGAGAGGGGAACAGTTGGCTTGGGAGCATCTTCAGTCCTGTATGGGAGCTGGGGGAACTAACCAAATCTCAGGAAAGACTTCCAAGTTGACTTGGAAGAATCTCCCTCCTCCACCTGTCTGATCAGATAGAAAGACAGGGGACTGGAGAAGATGGTGTATAATATGTGGCAATAACTTCACATCTGATGGATGGGGTGGGATGAAGGGAAAGGAAGGAGTAGAAGAGCCTGGGAGTCCCTTCCCCAGTTGTCTGGAACCGGGCGGCAGCACACCTGAAGGGCGTGCTCCTTGAAAAAGCGAAGGGCATGGGCGAACACCTCCAGGGCTGGCATCTTCTTTCCGTTTACGGCCTCTAGCTGGGTCTTCAAGGTGAGATCCTGGCAGAGACACACAGAGGCTCTGCCAGAGGCCAAAGCTCTGCCACTATTCCCTGATGACCTCTTTGACCTTCACCTCACTCCCACTCTAACTCCTCTTCACCCTCAGTCCCAGCTCACCTTAGCCCCGCCCGCCCGACCACCTACGAGCTCCGCCCACCTCCTGGACCAACTCTCTTCAGCCCCGCCCCTTAGCCATCCTTCCACCACTCTTCCTCATCTCTTTTAGTTGTGCCCCACCCTCCACTTATGCAGTCTTTTCCCCTCCTGGCCCCGCCTCCCTGGTCCCAGCCCTGCCCAGAGCCAGAACGTGGCTCACAGTGGTGCTGTGGATCTTCATCTTGAACTTCTCGAAGTAGAGCCAGTCCCGTGCCTCCTCAGGGTCTAGGTCGTGGTAGTAATCACGGGCAGTGTAGCCAAAACTGTGAAAGGCTCCCTCTGGGGTCAGCAGCAGGCAGGTAGGGGTCTTCTGGTGGGCCACGCCTGGATCCCCACCCTCCCATTTCCTGTGGAGGCACAGGGTGGTTGTCAGTGGGTTCAGCGGCAACCCACCCTTCATGGGGTTGGGTGCTGGCTTCGGGGCCAGCAGTGTGACCTCAGGCAGGACACAACTCTAAGCCTCAGTTTCTGTCAAATGGGAATAATGATGGTATCTACCTCTTAGGGTTCTTATGAAGAGGAAATGAGGGAAGATTTGTTCTTGGGAAGTACAGATGGCACACAATTAAATCTCCTTAAATGCTACCTACAGGTTCCACTGGTCCCATCTGACTCCTGTTTCTTCCATTAAGTCACACCCTTTGGCCTCTCCTCTTTATATCCCTTACAAGCAGCAAAAAGCCACCATCTGTTGGGGTGGGTCTGATTTCCTGACGTGTTCTCTCTGGGACCCTGGAAGAAGCCCAGGGACCCTGGAAGAAACCCAGGTCCCAGCCAGGGACCTTGCCCTCTTGAAGGCCATTCTCCAAGGCCAGGCTCCTTCCAAGTCTTTCAAGACCATTTCTATCTGACCCACCTCCACAGTCACACCTTAGGAGACTGCACCTCTGGCAGTTCCCAAAAACCTGAATGAGATTCTGAAACCCCCTGTCTACAAGGGCTTCTGGACCTCCACTCAGAACTACCCACTTTTTTTGCCTGGCAAATCCTTTCCTCCCCCTCCTCTTCCTTCTCTGACATCCTGACTCCTTCAGGCCAACTTCGCCATTGCAGTCCTTTGTGGGAAGGAACTGGGAATCCAGGCAGAGAAGTATGCAAAAGGTTAGAGGTATGAAGAGCAGGGGAACCAATTCTAGATTGGCTCAATGTGCAGCAGGGAAAAAAGAAATTACAGGAATTCTAGATAATGAAGAACTTTAAATGTCATACCAGAATTCTATCTTGGTGGATTTTAAGTAGGGCAGCGAACAGACATGACTACATTTACCTTTGGAAAGGGAGGTCGCTGGTCTCCATGAAGAACAGATTGGAGGCAAGAGAGGATGCAGAAGCTACACCAGGAAGGAGGATGTTGCAGCAGTGCAAGTGAGAAAGGATGGAGGGTAAACTTAGGCTGGAGTGGTGGCCATGAAAAGAGGTGGATGGGTATACCAGAGATATTAGGGAGACATAGAAATGATGGGGCTTGGTGGTTGGTGGTGGTGAGAAGAGAAGGCTTGGGGAGGTCAAGATGTTCCTCAGTTTCTGTGACCATCACTTTCATGAGACAGTGTCTTTCATGTGTTCATGAAACCTGGCATAGCCTTAGCTGTGTATGCTGATCAGCTGGTATGCCCTACAGCTCCTAGAGGGCTCTAAGTGCCTTTGTGGCCTCCTATCATGTGGAGGGAGCAGAGATAGGGGAAAATCAGTCCAGGTTCACAGGAAGCTCACGTCTCATGTATCTTTGGGTCAGTTGCTTCTGTCTCTCCATTCACCCTTCCCAGGCCCTTGGGAAGCTCCCCTGTATCTCCCATACCCATCTGGGTTGAGAGCTGTGGAGTCTTCTGTAGCTTCACCTACTGGCTGTGGCCCTAGTAAGATACATTCAAAGGATCGGGATCTTGAGATACAGAGGGAAGTTGCTATGGCTTGGTTATGATTTGAGTGTCCCCTAAGGTTTCATCTGTTGAAATGTAATCCCCATTGTGAGGTCCTAGGAGAGTGGAGATCCATTTATGGTGTTTAGAGATGAGGCCTTTAGGAAGAGATCAGGACTAAAATAAGGTTTTTAGGGTGAAGAAACCATGACTGAATCCCAGCAGCTTTATAAGAAAGAGAGAACTGGCACCATAGCACACACCTATAATCCCAGAGACTCAGGAGGCTGAGGCAGGAGGATTGCAAGTTCAAAGCCAGCCTCAGCAACTTAGCAAGACCCTGTCTCAAAAGAAAATTAAAAAGGTTGGATATGGCAGAGCACCCCTGGGTTCAATCCCCAGTACCACAAAAATAAATAAATACATAAATAAAATAAAGCAAGTTTTATTATAGATCACTTTTATCTTTAAAACACATATATGCAGGGCTGGGGTTGTAGCTCAGTGGTAGAGCGCTTGCCTTGCACGTAAGAGGAACTGAGTTCGATCCTTGGTACCACATAAAGATAAATAAATAAAATAAAGGTATTGTGTCTATCTACAACTAAAAATATTTTTTAAAAAACACATATATGCAGATATATATGTTTGTGTATAACCCAATAAAAAGGTATATATGTTTCATTGCAAATTTGTTATATCTCCACAAAAAATTTTACATTAAAAATAAATTCCCCAAGGCTGGAGATGTGGCTCAAGCGGTAACGTGCTTGCCTGGCATGCGCGGGGCGCTGGGTTCTATCCTCAGCACCACATAAAATAAAAATAAAGATGTTGTGTTCACCAAAAACTGAAAAATAAATATTAAAAAAAATCTCTCTCTCTCTCTTAAAAAAAAAAAAAGCACAAATAAACCCCTGAGCTGGGAGATGTTGCTCAGTTGTAGAGCGCCTCACATGTGCAAGGAAGGCCCTAGGCTCCATCACCAGCAGTGCAAAAGTAAATAAATACATAAAAACTTAAAATAAAACTAAAGTTCCACATTTCAGGCAGAGGGTGAGAGTGCTCCACTTGAGGCCTGGAGCCCAGATGTGAGGCCATCCTCCAACCTTTTGTCCCCACGGCGTACCTAGACTAGGGATGGAAGAGGCTCTGAGAAGACCCCATGTCTCAGTGACCATTTCTAGGATCAGGCCCATCCCAGAATTTGGGGATCCCCCTCCCCGAAATCTCCCATCCCAGCCACCATCACCTCATCATGTGGATGGCCTCAGGGTCACTGGCAAAGCTGAAGGCATAGCCACTGGATGTGGTGCCGAAGTCAATGGCCACCACCACGGAGAAGGAGGCTTGCTGGGGGGCTCGGGCCTCTGGCTTCTGCAAATCCAAGATTCAGAGTCAGCAACCAGCAGGGAAGTGCTCCCCTTTGCTAGCTGTGGTCCAGAGCAGACCTGGCCCAGCTCTACCTGCCTACCTGATGGCCAGGGCTCCCCTCTCCTCCCTGGCTCCAGGCTAAGACCTGGGCATACCAACTACTCAGAAAGTCTGAGGTTTCTCAGGTAGCCCTGTGGTTTTGGGCGACAGCAGCTGCTTTGCCACTTCCAATTCTTCACCCAGCTACTGCCTTGGTCCACCCCCATCTCGAACCATCTTCTCTCCCTACACCAGTCTCGGAATGGCTGGGAGCAATTTGGCTCCTCTGGGCAGTTTTATAGCTTTATATGGATCTGTGCATATTTTATTCCTTTACTCTTTTTGTGGCCACAATGACTCAAACCAGATTCTGTCCAATTCTGTGGCAGAGAGGAGAGGCCCTATGCACATGCAGACTTGTCCCTGCCTTCTCCCAGGCCAGGCCTGGGGTCTCTGAGAACAAGAGGGTCCCCAGGCTGGATCATCAGGACAAGACTCTCAGGGAACTGGGGGTGAGAAGGCTTTGTCCTGGAAACTTCAAGCTAGTAGTTTCCAAACTACTTTTTTGACAACACAACTTCCTCTCCTCCAGATATGTCTTGAAATAAGGTGGGACTGTGGTTGGCAGGAGGTGGAGCAACTCTGAGAGGCCCTAGTGCTCGGAGAACCTATAAAAACCACAGGCCTGCCCCACAACCTGCTGCAGCCAGCCACAGTGACCCCTAGGAATCATCCTATAGCAGGGAAGGCTGGGAGTTAGTTATGTGGGGCTTACCTGCTTAGTAGCCCAAGACCACTCAAGGCTAATCCTCCTGGGGGTGTATGACTAGAGTGTACAGGGACAGGAGGCATGCGGTATGCCCCTGGCCCTTCTTTCTTCCCAGCACAGGCCCTGCCATGGCTCTGCCAGGTTCCATCTCCCTCCACACCAACCCAGGCCTCCCATAACCCCAGTCCCTGATCTGGGCTTACTGGAGACTGTGAGGGTGTGAGGGGGGCAATGCCACAGCTCTCCTGGGTCCTTGGGGAGCCAGGTGGGCTAGGTACTGGTGATCGCTCTGGGCTGGAACCTGCAGGGAAGAGAGAGCAGGTCATTCTGGCATGATCAGGACAGCAGGATCCCAGGTCTGGCACCAGGAGGTTCTCCATCAGTTCTGCTGGGGAAGAGGGACTGGAAGGGAAGATCAGGAAGGACAGTCTTGAGGCGGGTGCAGAGGCTAAGGGCTTGTTATCAGTTAGAGGCAACCTTTCCCTGGAGGGTGATCTATGTATCACCTGGGCTCATTGACTCCCCCGGCACCCATCCGGCACACCCAGCTAGGGAGGAGGGGAGACAGAGATGCATCATATGGTGGGGAGACTGAGTTCAGAAGTAGAAGGGCAGGAGAAGTGGGGCAGACGAGCTACTGGGGTAGGGGTGGAGGGTAGAGAAATCACAAAAGGAGGGGGAATTGCAGATCTAAGTGGCCGGGAGGTAGCACAGCTGGCCCAGAAGTGGGACTGCTCCCCTCTGCTGTAACTTGGGCCACCTGTTTCTAATCAGGACTTGAGGAGCTCTCCCTCCCCCATCCTCAGGGCCACAGACGGCCCAACTGGCTGCCTAGGGAGGATCAGGAAGGGGGAGGCCAGCACCTCCCTCCAGTCCAGCTCTGAGCTTAGGCATGTCCACAGCACTGAAAAGTCAGATCACCCAACCCTTTAAACACACACCCCCATACACAAATGTACACCCCAACTAACATTTAGGGGCAGGAGATCCCACTGAAACCGCTTTGCAGGCTCGCAACTGAGCTGGATCTTAGGTAAGAGGTCACAGAGTAGCCCCCAGGAGGCAGCCCAAGGCTTTGCCTGAAGGATCAGGCAGCTCACTGGGCAAGAGGTCCTGCCTGGCTGAACACTCCCAGGTATGGGTTGGCAGCTGGTCACCATCAGTCAGAGCTTTGCTAAGGGTCATGTGGGAGGTACTGGGGCAGTCCTGAGATCCATGGGTGGGGAAAAGGAGGTTGTCCAGAGAGGCAAAGAGGGACCTGGCATGAAAATTCATGGACAAATAGGCAGGTCTGTCATGCTGCATGCTGAGCCAGGGGAGGGACCTGTTCCTTCAACCACAGCCTTGCTATGTGACCCAAGAGAGGCCCCAGCCTTCATTGGCCTGGGGTAACCTAGGAGCATGTGAGGGGTTGGGAATGAATGGAATTCTGGGAAATGCCTGAACAGGGCTGCAGTCTCTTTGGGTGCCAGAGGGGCAGGGACATGGTATTCACATTCTGAGGGCTCCCCTTTCTCAGGCATCCAAGCATAGGCTTAGCCCTGCCACCAGCTCCAGCTTGAGAGGCCAAGTTGCTGTGCTTTGAGCCTGGGAAGGGAGGCAGGAAGGAAGGGCCCAACCCGCCAGGTCTTTGTGAATGGATTTCCTGAGGAGTGTCCCTCCTGCCTGCTGGCCTCCCACCCCTGCAGAGAGCCCAGAGCCTGCCACCAGACCCGGCCACTCACATAGGCATGCACAGATTTCTGTATTCACATGCCCATCTTAGACTATACTCTAACCCCCACAGGTCCCATGCAGAGATCTACCCACAGACAGACACACACTAACTCATACTCACACAAAGTCTTGTGCACACACTATCTGAACAAAACACTTGCACATGCATATACCTATGTGCACACACACCCTCTCTGCACTCACACCCCTATATACACAGAGGGGTTCTGTGACCAGATGGGTCATATGTATACACACACACAATGTGGACAACCTGCGGGTGAAGGGGTCTCAAGGCAGGGGTGAGTGGAGGGTGGTCAAGGAAGAGCAGCCAGCAGTGCGGGGGGTCTTACCAATGTACAGCCCCGGCAGGCCCATCTCCGGGACAGCCAGCATCCTTGAGGGACTTGTAGCTGTCAACAGGAACAGACAAGCAGAATGGGATTTACTTGTTCTTTTGTTCCTTCACAAAAGACTGCTTATTTATTGTATTTATTTACTTTTGGCTGGAGTCCTTTGAAGCAAATCCCAGTCATCATGTTGCTTGCTTCACCTATAAACACTTCAACAGTCTCTCCAAAAGATAAAGACATTTTGAAAAACACCATTACAACACCATTATCATGTCTAACCAAATTTACAGCAATTCCTTCATCTCATGTAAAGCTCAGTCTCACAGGCCCCGTTTGTCTCAAAATGGCTTGGCTTTAAAGGGCTTGGGATCCTTCTTAGTGTTTCCTGGTGCCCACCTCTGTGCCAGGTGCTGGGGGCACATCAGTGATCTAGAGAGACTCCGTCCCTAGGGACTCACAGCTTGGTGAGGGAGATGATCATAATCCAATAATCAGCATAATGAGATTATAAACAATACTGGACTGTGAATGTGGCAGCTGAACACAGCGAATGGGGGAGGGGTGGGCTTGCAGGCAGGCCCCTGTGGACCTTCCTTTAGGTTGAAAGATTTGAAGAGGCGTAATTTAGTTTGCATTTTGAGATGTCCCTCTGACTGCTTGGGGAGGTGGATTGCAGGAGTCCATGGAAGCAGGAAATTAGCTGGGCTTGTAGCCTTCCAGGCTTTAGATGGTGGTGTCTGTGTGCCTTGAGACAGGCGGAGACATTTAAGAGACAGTGGATGTCAAGGTGGCAGTGCCTGGTTCAAGCTGAGACAGATGATAAGCTAGGTAGTGAAGGGGCAGGATGGCAGGGAGAAGGGGCAGAATTTGGAACTAAGAGAACATGCATGCCAACAAGCCAGATGATATGTGATCGGGAGGTCAGGAAGAAATCCAAGTTAGAAACATGTGTTTGGGAGTCATGGTCATGGGAGGCCTGGCGGAAAGCAGAGAGAAGAGAGGAGAAGTGACTTAAAGTCTGAATAGGGGAAAATGGGCTGCCCGAGATATGGAGAAGCTTTCTATGGTTTCATGAAGACTATGATGAGAAGAGGGTGAAGCTAGATGCCTTTAAGAGATCCTGAGACTCACTGGGCATGGTGACACATGTCTGTAATTCCAGTTACTTGGGTGGTTGAGGCAGGAAGATCTAAGTTCCAAGCAAGCCTGGATAATTTAGCAAGACCCTGTCTCCAAATAAAATAAAAAGGGCCAGGGATGTAGCTCAGAGGTAGAAGCCTCCCATGTTCAATCCCTGGTGTAAAATAAAACAAAATAAAACAAAAATGAAAGAGTTGTAGCCCTAGAGGAGACTGTAAACACCTATCTTAATGGTTCATGGCAGGTAAGTCCAAATATGGCCAACAGTGAAAGGTAATTGGGCTAAACCTCCTTAGAAAGCTGGCTGAGACCAGGAACAGCATAGTAGCTGGAGGGAGGTGAGGAAGAATATTTACTTTATTTTTTAAGATGGGAAGAACCTGGGCTGGGGTTGTGACTCAGTGGTAGAGCACTTGCCTAGCATGTGTGAGGCACTGGGTTCGATCCTCAGCACCGCATATGAAAAATAAAAGGTCCATCAATAACAACAACAACAACAAAAGATGGGAAGAACTTGAGTTTGTGTCTGTGAAGTTCTGGGGGCCATATTATAGGCAGGACCCTCCAAATTCTCAACAGCATTGCTACTCAAAACATGGCAGCTTGGGCATCTTCCTGGGATCTCCATGAGGCTTGTTAGAAATGTAGAAACTCAGAAACTGTAGAAACCCTGACCTGCTGAATCAGGACTTGTATGTTAAGGAGAGATGCCCAGGTGACTTTGAGAAGTGCTGCTCAAGTTTCCCCGCAGTTCAACAGCCTGCAGATCTTGGATGCTATTGGCCTTATCTGTGAGCCTGGTTATCCCTCTAAACAAAGGTGGGGGCTGCCCAGGGCCTACTCCCTCTCTGTACCCATTAACAGGATCAGGAAGTTTTGCTAACAGAACACAAGCCAACACAGAGCTGGCACTGGCACACCCTTACACACATGTACACACCCTCGTTCATGCAGGGTTTACACAAACCCAGCCTAATTGTGGACAGACACCCAGACTTCTACACCCTTTTGCATGTCAAGGATACTCCTACATGGCTAGCACCATGCAGTCTTGCTGTCCTCCATGTCACTGGAGGTACACAGTTGGATACACAGGAATCTGAATTAGGAGAAGGACTGGGGCTGGCTGTGGACACTTGCATAGTAGTGGCCAGATGATGCCCAGAAAAGAGAAACCAATAAATGAGGTTGATAGGAATATTGGTCACCAGGGACAGGAGCCCAGCTTAGAGTGACAGAGTGACATCCTAGAGCTGGGTCCCACAGCTCTTCAGAGCTGAAACTGTGTCTCTTTTCTCAATTCTGCATTCATTGACATCATGGTAATAGCTTGAAATCAGTTGTGGTGGGAATATTTACACTGTGGGAATTGGCGAACACTAGGAAATCATATTTTTCTCCCTCCCAGAGACTTGACTATAAAACATTTACCAGCATTCCACTGGATCCAGCTGCAATAGAGAAGCTGGTAGTCCTATTTGAATGTTCTTTGTTGTCACTGTTTGCAGTAGTAGGGATTAAACCCTGGGATTTTCTATTACTGAATTACATTTCTCAGCCATTTTTATTTATTATTTTGAGACAGAGTCTTGCTGAGTTGCTGAGGCTACTCTTGAACTTGCCATCCTTTGGGCATTAGTCTGGAGTTGCTGGGATTACAGACATGCACCATCATGTTTGGTTCTTCAGCAAACACATATTAGTAATTTCTTTGTACCAATCTCTGTGCTAAGTGTTGGGAACCATTTTCTTAGATGGATAGATGGGTGGATGGATGGATTAATGCTATTGGGTCTATAGAAACAACCAAAAACTTGGGGAAAAACACACTGAGTTGTCCATCACTCTAAACTGAATTTCATGCCCCAACCATGTGCCTATAATCTTTGTTCTGAAGCTTGTTATCTTCTTTCTTTGAGTGTGTCATACATGGAGTGCCCCTGCCCTGGGTTCTCAGGGATGGCAGGAGCTTCAGTACCTGAAGTGAGTATATCATGGCACCTGGCATGAGTCTATCATGTCACCTCTCTGCACCAAAATGCCCTTTCCTATAAAATGGGTGTCACAAGGAACTTCTGAGGATCCATAAATCCAGGTATGAAAGGTGTTGATAAAGGCAGAGAGTCAGGCATGTATGAGCAGTGTTCTTTCCTTCATAGTTTCATTTAAATTCTGAATTTTGGCTTTTTAGAAGTTTCTGGTCTTACTGAGAATTTTATTTAGCCATCCTGAGTTTTTTGTCAAGGAGGTAGGAATCAAATCAATTTGTGCTAAAGGAATTTCCTGCTGATTCCCTGAGAGTTGTAGGTAGAAGCAGGTAGCAGCTACAAAACACTCACACATGCTCCATGTTTTTGGAAACCTCCATCACCATGCAAATGCACACAAAGACATTTAAGTGCAATGCTGATCAGGGAGCTCAAGACAACCTAGTTCCCTAAAGTTAGGTCTGGACAGAATTTACAGCTGAAAATGAGGGAGGCAGACCCCTATCGCAGGGGCCCACTAATTTCAAAGAGTGACATCTATGGGTTAGAGAATATTTTCCTGGGACAGTTTGATTTTATGCAAAAAGTAACTCCATTTCCTGGCTGACAGCATGTGTCAAATTCTGGCTCTAGCATGATCCCTACCCTACCCATAAGTAGACCCTTAACTCTGCCCATGGATTGACTCCTAACTTTTGGCCTCATATTGACCTCTAATCTTCAGATTCTCCCTTACCCCTGGTCCTTCTTTCTACCCAATAGGCATGCCCTATCGGTTCCTGGGAACCAGGACAGGGTGTGGCCAAGAAGGGACTTAGACCAGAGACTTCCTAGAGAGTGTTCCCTAGTTTCATAGTAGCCTAGAACTTTTTTACTTAATGGAGAGAATTCTCTCAAGATCTCTTCCTGTGTTAGGGGTGTTTGGGCTGGGCGCCTATGGCCCTCGGAGCTCTGCAAGTGTGTGGTGCTACTAGATTTCAGGACTCCACACAATGTCCATGAGGACAACCACATCTTTACAGTTCCCCTCCTCCCTGGGACCCTGCCTCTCCTATCCACTGCTGCCTGCTCAGCATACTGCAGGCCTTTCTAATGGAACAGGACTCTGTCAGAAAGCTAAGTGAGGCCACAGGGGTTTCTTCCAAGCCACAGAATGGGCCAACCAACCAGGGTCCAAGGGTCAGATCAGAAATGGCACCCAAAAGTCTGCCCCACCCTGAATCTGGAGAGAAGCCAGAAGGAAACTAGGGGGAGGCTGTGGGGTGAAGGGGCTGCCCCCTCCTGTGCTGGGGCAAGGGTGACAGAAATGGTCTCCTATGGAGCCTTTCTGTCCTCATCTTTGCTTTCCATACATCCTGCCCCACGCCCTTAGGTCCTCATCATGGGAGCAGCCAGTTCACAAACAACCTCTGTCCCCCAGGATCCATCAGTCTCCAATACCTCCCTCTCTTTCCATAACTCCTGGGTGGATCTGCTCCCTGGAGTCCTGGTTGAGAACTCCTTTCCTCCCATCTGTCCCCAACACAAGTTTGCTCCACAGGCAGCTCCAGGACCCCTATGGGAGCCCAGATGCCGCCTCAGTAGAGAACCCAGAGGCCGGGACACCAGGACCCTGGCCACCCAACCACTCTCTTGCATCCCAGACCAGAGGACCTGGGGCCTCTGAGGCAGCTCCCAAAACGCACATATATTCAGCCTCCAGTCTCCATCCCAGGCACCGTGTCTCCACAACCACTTCCCCGAAGCAGGCCCCAACCCACACTGGCTCTCCTGCCAGCCCCCAGGCACAGGCAGCCAGGTGGAGCCTTAGCGCAA